TGGACATTACGGGAATGACATCAGTCACAACCAAATTCTTTTGTTCGGTAGCCATAGAACGAAAACCCAATATCCAACTTAACACTCCTACGCAAGTCCACAAAAAAAGGAAAGGGCCAAAAGAAACACAAATGATTGAGGCCCAATTTAAGAAAACAAACCAAAGAAGAACCAGTGCCCACCAAACAAAATTGAGCCCACCAAACGAATGGAGCCCAAATAAAATTGAGCCCACCAAATTGAAATACTGACCGAACTGAACTTGAAGCACCACCACGCTAGAGGAAGAACGAACTGGAAGCTTAACGACGTGACCCACTCACGGAGGCAGAAGAAACGCAGGCGATGGAGGTGCGACAGGTGGAAGCTCACAGGGGCGACACACCGAATCAACAAGTCGAACAACCCAGACAATGAGGCAGTGGCAATTGTTCAGTTAAATCCCACCGGAAGCAGCGAACCCAGAGACCGACAGCAATTGCCCGACCAATTTCCCAAATTGACGACACTGGAAAGAAAAACAAATTGTAACTTTGGAGACAACAGATGCCTACGACGTCACGACGCCACTTCCAAATTCTCCAGCGACGCCGAGAATCCAAAATTGCGACCACAGGTTTGAGAAATCGAATTCTAGGGGGCTGATACCATGTAATCAATAGAGAATAATATTATATGTTATTACAAGGAGAGAATACACAATATATATACAAATACAACCGAGAGATCTAAATAGGGAAAGAGAATCCCTATAATTACGCTATAATTATTTATGCTAACAATTAGGAATGCATTAACACAAACTCTTTATCATTTTGTAGTACCGGAAATTGAACAAGGATTGTCAGATGCAGCAAATTCAGAAGTTACTGTTAGCTTCACTCCGCACTTAATGCCGATGGTAACACTTAATCTAAGACTTATTATCTGCAGCTCTGTACTATCACTCTTTCTTATTCACCTTTCTTATTCTCCAGAGTCGTGGTATGCAATCCACTATATATGTGGAAATGGCCCCAGGAGTGTCAATTCAGGATTTATACCAGCATTTGAGCTCATTTTATGAGGTAACTGATCCATTCGATAAGCATGTTTGGCTTTTTTTTTTATTTTTTGGAAATAAGCTAACTTTTTGTTTCCAAACATGTTTGGATAAGTTTCTTTTGTCTTACCTTGAGTGAAAAGAGAGTAAATTTCGAAGCAAGTGTTAATTTGAAGTTGAAATATAGCTTATTACCAGTTATGATCAGTAAAAAGATGTTCTATTTTAAACTTGTTTACTTGTAAGTAAACTTTTAAAGCTTAACCAAACATGTTGTTCCCCCTTTTCTTGGTGTTGTGTGGATGAGGAATCTTTCAAGATAAAAAACTTCAATTTAGGTTGAAATGTTGAAAGAAGCTCGCCTTAATGAATGCATATTGCATTCAAGGTAGTCTCTGACACTGGATTATCTGGACTATCAGAAGTTAAACAGAAGACTTAAAAGCTTTAATTTTGTGGGATTAGTTTGTAAAAAACTACATTTACACATTATCTATTGGCAGTTATATTCCCATATAAGGAGTGAAGGCATACATAGATGTGAATTTATCTGTAACTAGGCTGCTATATGCTGGTTCTAAGCCTTCTATATAATTTAGTACAAAAATCTCTTTTGTGATTCTTCTCTTTGATCTCATATGAAGGTTTTGACGTAAGAGAAGTATAAGAGATCGACGTCCAATTCCTAGAACCTCAAAATCCCAATCCCAATTGAATTATGTTTTCCTAATATGCCTGCAGTAACCTTTTCTATTATTCAAAGCTGGAGGATTGAGATAATAAATGTTATTATTCCGAAGCTGACCTATAAAATTTCTTGTTCTAATTGGCCAGCAGCTGATTGACATAAAGTTGTTCTACTTTCGCAGAATGAAGAATTTGTGACTTTGCTGAAGAAAAATGAAGTTCCTCATACTCGACATGTTCGAGGATCTAATTATTGCTTTATGAATGTATTTCCAGATCGAATCCCTGGAAGAGCTATAATAATTTCTGTTGTAAGTTTGTTTTCGTCCAGTATAGATTATGTTGGATTTTTACTTTCATTTCTTGGCTCAATCTCCAAGTGCCATGGTGCAGATTGATAATCTTGTGAAGGGAGCTTCTGGTCAGGCCTTACAGAATCTTAACTTGATGATGGGAAATCCCGAGAATACAGGGCTCCTTTACATGCCTTTGTTTCCTTAATATTATGTAAGGTAATGATCTCGATGCACGTGTTAGTCTCCACTCATTATTCCCAACTAGTGCACCATGAAACTCTATTTTACTGTTCATCTGAACACTGTATTTGAGATCTTGCCATGGAAGTACAGAGGTGTAAACCGGGCAAGCACAACTCAGATTTAGGTAGGCCTCTGCTGAAATCTTAAGGCACGGTTAGTGGTCTTGTCTGGACTGGGCTGTACCAAATCCCTGCCAGACATCCCAACCAAGTTATACACCTCTTGATAGATGGAAGACGGTTTATTCAAACATTGGTCTTCCAATTAGCTTGAAGACCCGAAGCCAAGAAACAATGTTACTTCTTTTCACTCCCTTGGTTGAATCCTAAACCTTGCTGGTTGTCATCCATTAGCAAAATAGTTTTGGTCCATCACTTGTCTTGAATATTCTATTGGCAGGATGACAACAGGAGACATTCAACCATGACTTAGTGCACTATTTTGTGATACTTGAGTCAAAACTCATATTTTCCTGTATCACCCTTTGCGTTCATTATGCAAATCTTTGGTGCACAAATTCCGATAATCTTGAAGCATAGCCTTTGTCCAAATGCAAATTTGATTAGGTGATGAATTATTTGCAATTCATCTTAATTTTGCCATCGAAGTTCACATAAATTTTCCACTTGTTATTGAAGTTTATTATGCTTTTCATTGCAGGTAATCACGAGCAATTTTACGAGTCGAGAAGCGATTGTATGCATCCAACCAGCTGACTAACCAGCGTCCGACTGAGGTTTAATTGCGACTTCGCTAGAACTTTGAACTAGATCACAAGCACAAGTTTGACAGAAATAGACTTCAGTGAATTCTATCCTTATTTTATTGTACTTCATGTCACGTTCGTGAGATATTCCTTTGTCCAAGAAAATAATATCGCCAGTGTATTGGATTTTTGTTTGCTTATATCCAAACATGATTGTAAGTGCCTCGTATAATTAGAGTAAAATAAAGTTTTTCATTGGCTATCTTTATAGCACTTTTCTTCATCAAAATTTTTCTGATGTTGCTGAAATATCTTGAGCTGCTGGTCAAGGACATCAATATTTACGGTTAGTTTACATATTAAAAATGACAGCTTTATATCTACATTGTCCAACGTATTTGGTACGATAATCTGTATGACATTGAACAATATTAAAGAAAAAGATGAAGTTGAAATATTGTTTGTGGAAAAAGATGCAAGTACAGGGATTTTTAACAGGGTTTTGACAGGAAGCTGATGTGGCAAAAAGTTGTTGGCCTGCTTTTTTATCTTTTCTTTTTTCCTCCAATGAAATCTCTCGATTTCAAAATCCTGTAAATATTCTGTGTGTTTTTTCTGTACGTGTAGCAATGTTCTGTTTGTTATAGTGCTTAGTTGATACTACATACTCGTGTTGTTGTACAATGTTGTCAATTGTACTTCGGATCATATTCGTCGCAGGCAACCAATCGAAAAAAATTTGCCACACACTTTCGGCATGTCGGATTTAATTACACTTTTGTATATTGACTTTTATATGTTCTTAATTATGTCCTACATCCCTCTCAATAGCCAACCAGTTTGAAGATCAAAACATTTTCATCTCTTGTTTTATAGCAACTACATACGCCGCTATGGAGAGAGATTAGAAGGTAGGAGTCCAGATTTGCTATCTCAAACTTTCTGTCTCGATGACTATCCTATCAATATATTTTTGACATGTCAACATCTTTTCATTTGTTATGAAGATGTGATGTGCTAAGATGTAAAAATATATTGGTGGGATAACTAAGAAACAACTTCAAACTATAGATGTGATTTCGAGATGATAGAATTGCCCTATGAACTCTCCTACAAAACATATTTATCAAGTTTCCATTAAAAAAAAAATGAGAGAAAAACTTGTAAAACATATCCATGTAGGGTTTATTTAGATTTTTGTATGGGACGTGCTATTCGTACCGGCGGGGGGGACGGGGGGTTGTACACCCCCGGTACAAGGAGTAAAATCCTTTTTGTATACCAACATGTGTGTAGGTTTGGAATTATGTGCTTCATCCTTTTCCATAGCCAAGTACTTCAAAGATCAAGGCATTCTTATCTCTTGTTAGATAGCAAATTAGCAACTTCATACTCCACTATAGGAGAGAGAGAGAGAGTAGGAGATGGCTGATGGCAAAAGCTTAGATTTTCTATTTTGAAGGTGCTATCGTATTAGCTGTCCTAATAATACATTGTTGACATCTTAGCACATCATTTCTTCCGAACGAATGAGAAGAATCAGAAGATGATGATAAATGGATCAACAAATTCGAAACAACATATGTGAACTCGAGACCGCAAAGCAGCCCTATGTCCTACGCAACATAGTATATCGAGTTTCCACGAAAAAAGAAAAAAGACAAACTTATAAAATATATTCTAGGGTCTAATTAAAATGGATTTCTTGAGGAGAGAAGCTGACGGTCAGGATTGAAGTTGAGTACAGCAACACAAATTTCAATCTATACGCAAGAGCACCGAATCTGGGCTCCAAACCCTTAAAACCCTTCAACTATAAGGTTTTCCAGTTCCTTATCCATAAGTTCATCAAGAAGAAAAAATAATTCGAAGAATTTTAATGGGTTTTCCTCAGGGAGTAGAGATTTGAATGATTCTTGAAAATAATAAAATGGTGGCAGTTACATCCAGCTAATTTTTTTTGGTTGCCATCCACTATCTGAAATCCGATTTCCTGATATTACCAGCATTTTTCTGCTAGGAAAAAATACATGGCTCACAAACTCAATGCTCCTGTTTTCTGTGGGCTCAAGATAATTAAGGTAATTCAAGTTTGTCTTCAAGTGGTTCGCTCCGTTCTATTGAATTGCCTCAATCTGCGAAAAATGGATATCATCCCGGGAAGGGGGTTGCTTGATGGGGGAAATTTGATGAGGGAAATGGACTAATGGATGATAAGCAGAAAATTTCGATACTCTATTAACAGTTATTATTATCGATTTTTTTGTTTAAACAATGCATCTCTCTTGTTAATAACCTTTGGTTCGGTACAAAGTCATATTAATTATTGCATGTGGCATTGATGAAATGAAATTGGGAATGGGAATGGGTATAGTCAATGGCATGGATGGCCTCCTATTGGTGTCACTAGACATCAAGAATGAAGAAAAGAGAGAATTAAATGATACAATACTTGGATTTAAACCGGTTTGAAGGATTTTGTGGGGATTTTTGAGGTATTTGTGTGAATAGGTGTTATCCATGGAATTGCAGAAACCGTAGAAAGCAAAGATTTGATTTTCTTTATAAATGGGATATGAGTTTTGATTCATATGAATAGATACTTAATATTAACTAAGTGAACCTGTGTAGCTCAGAAAAAAGATGAAACATAAATCATAGATGAACTACGCCCATTGTAGTTAACATGCATCTCTTGTTGAAAGTTGGTACTTTTCCTTTGGAAATGGTAAGAGTTATTTCTTCTTGGTATTTGGAGTTACAAAACTACCAAGCTTCTGCTGTCAAGTAATTTGTGGCTTGGCCGTGAAGATATGTCGTAAATATGTGGACATATATTTGACTATTTGTAGGTGGCATATATAATTTTTTATTCTACATTATTACTAGTTTCAGATTACAAATTTCTTATGTTATGACAGAATTTGCCGTCTTACAGTAGGCTGAGTAGTTGTACGTTGAGTCTCGAACGAAATGGAATTTGCCGAGCTAGTCCGAAAGTTCAGTGCGTTATGAACATGGTCAGTGGAGAGTCAGATGAACCTGGGAAATTACGTCTTGAATACGTACTGGACAAGTCGATAAAATTGTGGGATAATGCTCCTGAGTCAATCAAGAGCTTCCCCTGGAACAAGGCATCAGAAAATTTCATTCAACTCATTCTCGACCTTGTGTTGGCTGTAGTTAAGTTCTTATCCATACCTGTATTCACAATTACATCCATTAGTGAGATGTCTTATTGTGCACATGAAAGGAAACTATACCTCATTCCGCTTCCATTTCTGGTTGGTATTGCTGTAGCTGGGGTCTTAAGAGAGGCAGCTGTGGCGTCATCTCCATCTCTCAAGGTGATTTTTTGCACTGTTATAACATTTAACTTATGAAATTGAGGGATGTCGAATAAAAGTTTCCACTGGTGGTATATTAATATTTTCGCAATTCAATTAAAGAAAATCATAGTATTTCAAGGGAGAATGAATTCACAGGACCATTCATAACAAAATATTCTTTGATCCTTAACTGGTCTATAATCTACACGTCTGAGATACTGACTGGGATATTACAGCTCGAATTTGATACAGGGATTAAAAAACCTTTAGGACAATAGCATATACTCTATTCCTTGTATGGTAAGCTTGTGTTTTTTGTGAATGAAATTCATGGTTTTCATTATTCTTGTTCCTTTCCTGCCTTATATTGTACCACCTCTATTTGTTGTAATTGGTTGATCATATTTTGTTGTCGCCTTTTATTCATATAAACTCGCTAATTATTATAGTGTGTCCTATGAATGTGTTCATGAAATTGTCTGAGCAATTCATATTTTATTTTACCCCTTTTGACACATGCAACCAACATATAATGAAGTAACCTAAATTAGTAATATTGGAAATGAGTTGGTTCATACCCGTGTTTATGGCATAGAGACTTTGTTTCAGGCATTTATTTTGTAATAAAACCTTAGAAGGAAGAACAACTCTCTGGTAGATTTGTATGTTGACAGTGGTTATATTCATGTAATTGCAGAATGCAGAAGTCCCCTGGCATTTGATTGCCATTGCAATATTCTTCACGTTGCTTAAATTGCCCGGTCCATATTACCCATATTGGGGGCGTATTTTCATTCCACACTTTGCAAATGGAGGATTGTTGAGGACTCTATGGTTTGCATTTCTATGGTACAGAAAGCCTGGAAAGTCGTCATCAACAACAGCACCTGAATATGTAGCTCAGAGTCAATAAATTAGGCCCTAATAAATATTTGAACAGGTATGAAATTTCCGACTGCATTGAAAGAAAAAATGAATTGCTAAGATTACAATACGAGTCCAGTTGTACCTTGTGGCTTTTCTGAATCTGATTTTCTAACTAGGATGCTTCTTTCTACTGGTTATATAGATTTCATTGGATAAATTTATTGCTAGAATGTTTAATTCTTTTTCCCCCTTCAACTCGAAGTTACCTTAAGAATTAGAGGTCCTATAACATGTGATTCTTTTGTTTTCTCTATTCACAATCTACTTTGTGTAATTAAGCCACCATTTGGCCCCCATTATTCCAAATTATAATGAGAAGAACAGTAATTTTTTTGGAGAATATATGGTTAAAAAAAGGAAATATTTTTGGATTTACGTGTAATAATATTTTATTGGAGAATATGTGGTTGATAAAAAGAGAGAGAAAAATGAATTATGATTTAATGGGGAATAATGGGGGCCAAACGGGGGCTAAATAAAAACCTGTCTCTGCCACAGTTGGCCAACACTAATCAACAGAATCGGTAATAGCTTTTACACAATGCATCATCTTAGCAAATTATGAATCGTAATGATGGCCCCCTTTATATTGTAAATAAGTTACCATCTGTTTCAGTTTCTACTATATAATTTTTCCTCACATTTGCTCATTACATTTCTCATAAAAGACGACGTGTTAATTTAAAAAAAAAAAGAAGCATTTTTTCTACTTTCATCTCCCCATACAATTTTGACATGATATATACAAGACCCTTATAGTGTGTAGCAGTTATACCAGGTCGGACTGCATTCCCATTCCTGTTGTGTGAACTGCAAAGCTTCATGTACTTGGTGACATGCGGTATTTGATTAAAGAAAGATACAAGCTATGTATGTGTATCTGTATCACTGTATGTACTGCATTCTTTGTTATCTTTACATACTTTTATAACCCTCCATTTTACTGATTTCTTTGGCCCTTCTTCAGAGTGGTGGTCAGAGACAGGTTGTTCGAGTAGTTCCATTATTCGTTCTCATGATATGAAATTTTTTATTCCTTCCAAAATAATACAACTTCATAGTTTGTGTTTTACACAGTTCCTTGACAATGTCATCGACTTCTTTTGTTTTTGTTGATTATGTAAAAGTGGCTTGTCTGACTAAACCTGTTATTTTCTTTATGTTAATATATTAACTTTATTTCTTGAGCGTAGGCCGGGAGAGGAAGTTGGATCACGCTATTTCGAGATGCATATATGAGTAAAGTTTATCTCCGTCATCAGAATTCTGTAGGAAGCGTAAAAGTAGTTTATCCTTCAGGTTGGCCAGCACACGAGATAAATTTCTGTGTTTTAGCCCAAAGGTATTGATGATTTACTGCATTGGATGTCTTAAAAGGGAAGATGAAGCTACAATGAAAGGTATTTTTGGTTAGATGAGCATGAATTGAAGGGCAACCTAGATTTGTTCCATTTTGCTTTTTTCTATGTAAGGCTTTGATATTTATTTTGAGGAGTTGTTTCTTTTAGTAAATTTCTGACGTAAGACAATGTTTTTGAAATTCAATATTCAGTTACATTTTCTGCCTGGAAATCTTCACCACCTGGTGCCTCGTCGTGCCTTGTGTTATTGTGAGTTCTTAAAAAAATTCGTTCTTATTTACAGGTGGCATTAACTACAGATTTATTAGGATTATGCACTTTTCAACCTATGAAAACTAACTTAAAGGGGGCAACAACTACAACTGCAAAGTGTTTGAAGAAGAAAAATATGTACAACACGAGTGCGACCACTAGATTGAGTTAGAAATGAATTGCAAATATGTTGTTCATGTGGAAATAGAATTACAGAATCCTAATGCACGGCTTCCTATATTTTCCAAACTAATGCTTGGACTATGAAATTTGGTTTTGGGTTCCATTACATCATATAATCACATCGCATAGATGATTTCTCCGCTGCTATCAATATCAAGATAAGGATCACTCTCGAGATCTTCCTCTATGTCGTCGTCAATGTCCAGGCTACCAAGAAAGAAAAATGCTGATAGTACAGGGAAATTTTGACAGAAAATGTACATAATTTTGAATTTTTCAGTCACATGTTGTGGGCCCCATGTATAAAATATTGGAAAAAAAATTCTGCTCCCGCCATGAATTGTGAGTGTTCTTTAGGTACAGGAATTCACCTATAGCTTGGTTCACCAAGAAAATGCTGATTTAGACTGTTAGTCCCGGCTGCCGGGACAGTAGCCTCAGAAATTATCTCCATGATTTCTGCATCATTCTGCATCCGTTGATTGGCTCCTGGAACGTCTGCCGGGAGGTTCTTCAGAAACTGTTGAGAAAATGAAAAATGATAGAAAATGAATTGAAATGAAAATGGCAGAAGCTGAATTGAAGGTGATTGAACCTGCTGGAATAGGCAGGGAAGCTGATGAAAGTTATATACAATCAACTTGAGAATTAAAATGAATACAAAGTGTATTTATAGAAGAAATGACTAACTAACCTATCAACTAAACTAACTAACAACTAACTAACAACCAACAAACTAACTGACTAACTAATCAAAACTGAATTAACTAAATTCCAACAGCTGTAGATTCCAACACGCCCCCTCAAGATGGACGGTGAACATTGAGAACGGACATCTTGGATAAGAGAGAAGAATGCAGGAGATGCAGGCAATTGGTAGAAGATTACAGCAACTTCAGGTTCGAGTTCTTTCTCAGTCATTACATCGAACACCATGGCTTCGAAACCGGATCTGCATT